TATGATGCAATAATCAACATCAATGTTTTTTAATCTATGAAAACTGAACTCTCAAAATCATGGTTAACCTTTCTTTTCTGTGCTTTGCTTGGCTTCTTTGGCTGTGATGCATTCTGTGTAACTGATGTTGATAGGTTTTCTAGTTGCTCTGCTGTTTCATCAACCTAACAAACATATAAACAATACAAAATCCACATCTCAATCATATAATTGTAACTGAAATGCATTTTCATCTCACAAATTCCTGCTGAAATTTAGCAGTCTATCTTTAAGAAACTGATCTCTTTTATCTTATCAAGTTTTAGTCAGAGCATTAATCTTTGTGTTAACAAATAGCCATTCTCAACAAGCATAACAACAACTTACAGAAGCTAATTTGGAATACAAGTTTTTTTTTTTTTTTTGGAGGTGGCAAACTTTTATAAGAGCTTGAAATGATAAATTATAGTATTTAAATTTTAATAATTTGTTGTCATAGATACACACCCCTTTGGCACTTGTGTCGTTCAATTCTTGTCTCTCTTTTTCGTGCTTCTGTTCGAGTTCTGCTTCAAGAATGGCAATCTGTGCAGCTACGTCCTTCTTCTTCTTCTTGTCCCCCTTTGGTACACTGTGCTTCAATTTTTGAATTTGAGCTAAATATATCAAGGTACAACGCAATTACTTTCTACACTCTGTTACCTAGATAATCAGACACGACAGACTATTTTCTGTTTACATTTTGATATAAGTTTTGCATGACAGCACACGATGCTATATTTACCGGTGCGCCCTGATGTGCCATGTGGTTTTGTTTACGTTTTGAGACCCCATTAAATAAACAAAACTATTTGAAAGCCAACGTTCCCAGGTATTTTACAACTTCCAAAGCATCCAATGTATATAGAACGGTTTGTCAAATACTTACCTTGGAGTTCTTTTGCTTCCTTTTTGTGTTTTGCTGATAAAGTTTCTTGTGGAGATAGATTTTCGACTCCCTCTTCCTCCATGATGGATGACTAATGTACGCATGCTCAGTGAAGACTCTTTATCGCCCGAAGAGCTGAAAACAAGTTGCAGGAAAGGAAGGGAGGAAGAAAGAAGGGGAAGCTAGACATATCAACTATGGTTTGCAATGTTTTAATTACTCTAGAAGCATTTTATCGTTTATGACAAAAGAATTAGAATCATAACTTTACTATCGTACATTTCTCGAAAGATTGTAGAGGTTTAGCATTGGAAACTAAGCTTTGATAGTGTGTATCCGCAATCAGAGTAGCGATCAATGACATTATGTTAGTCATTCATTAATTCGTGGGTGTATCATTTTAGTATTTTGAATGATTTTTTACTTTCAGCACGGTAGACTGAAGGTTAAGACCACTGCAGAACAGCAGGAGGCAAAGCGGAAGGAAAGGGAGAAGAAAATGAAGCTCTATAATGCAGCTACATCAAAGATATTCCAGAAAGTAAAACGTCAAATTTCAAACTTACTGTATGATAATTAATAAACATAAGCCATTATATACATGTACTTATACATTGTAATATTAATTTCTAGGTCGGTGATACAAGTATAAGCACATTAATTCAAAGATATGGTTGGTAGAATAAAATGAATATATCTTATAAGATGATTGGTAATATGGCAATATTGATTGATTTTCACACTGGCATTTATTATCTAGAAACCGCGACAGGTACTCTCTTTTTCATTCTCATGTTGCCATCCGGTAGTAAGTATGTTTTCAGCTAGTGAATGTAAAATTATCATTTCACTTAAAAGGTTTACTAAATATATTTTTATATGGTATTTTAAAAATTGATTTCCACAGAGACAAGGGCAGGAGTATGACCAGGAAGCCTTGGAGCTGACAGCACAGATACTGAGTGCAAACTCTGACTTTTACACGTTGTGGAACTACAGAAAAGAAATCTTTCTTGCATTCAAGGATAAGAGGTAGGGTGTTTGTTTCTTTCGCTCTCTTTCTTTGAGCTTCAGTTTTCTTGGCAGCTTCTTTATTTTCACACCTCAACTTGAGTGAATATGTGCACAAGTTTCATATGCTCTGAAATTCTGCAGCAAGTTTGACTGAAGTTAAACATGTCAAGCCCAGGTACAAAATCATCATCCAGGTTTCGTGGTTCTGTAAAAGGATACATGATGTAACTAACATCTATTATTTGCAATTGACATGGTAAAATTCAATCAGATACTGTTGAAGTTGAAACACCACATGCAGACAGCATGAAAGTTAGAAGGTGAAAGTTCTAAGGTTTGCATCAGTTTTGAAATCGGCTGGTTTCTTTCTTCTTCTCTTTTACCTGTGTAGTGCCCCAGGTAGAGTAGCTTAGGTCTTTCAAATCAAGGTTCACCAAAGCGGGCAGCAACAGTTTTTCAGACCAACTGGTGCCTCTAAAAATTAGTATAATGTTTTAGATAGGAGAACTGAATGATAGAATCCTCATATGGTAAGAATATATACCAGCAGCAATGGGTGAAGCGATAAAAAAGTTTTCTTTATTTATTTTAGTCTTTTAGTCTTTTAGTCTTTTCTTAATGAATTAATTGATATATAACAGTTATTATGCTGAAAAACAAATCTTACACTAGTGAATAATCATTGAAGAGAAAATTATATGGATTTTATAAATTGTTGTTACTGACATGTCATTTCAGCACAGAAGATGAGCTTCATAAGCATTTTGAAGATGAGCTAAGCTTCCTGGAGGCATGTTTGAAGGGAAATCCCAAGTCGTATGGTTGCTGGGAACACAGGTGTTTTGTGATGCTGACCATGCCACGCCCTGACTGGGACAGGGAGCTGATGCTGTGTAATAAATATTTGGAATATGATGAGAGAAACTGTAAGTGCTTGTGTTATTACATGAGGAAAGCTTGTAGGGAAATTTTGATTATTTTATGAATTTGTTTATATAATATGATTATTATTTATTTTAAAATATTTCATTTTTAATCAATACTCAAAAACTGAGATACAACTTCCACTCAGAATATTTCTTGAGCAAACCCTAAAACTATGTTGTGAGAAATGTTTGAGTAATGAGTTAGACAATAAATGAACATTTGAAAAAGATTCAGTACAAATAATATTGAATCAAAGCATGAACATGAGAATGTATGCATTCACAAGATGAGCATGTTTTTTGTTTTTTTTTTATAATTAAAACTGATTTGAAATATTTTGTTTTGTGTGACTTTTAATTAAAATTAATTTTGTGATATCTGAAGTCGGATTGAGATAGAGACAATTCTTTTTTAAGATATCTATTTAACTTCCAGTCCACTGCTGGGACTATAGAAGGTTTGTAGTGAAGAGAGCACAGGTGACTCCAGAGGCAGAGTTTGAGTTTACAACATCCAAAATCAGCAGCAACTTCTCCAACTATTCCTCCTGGCACTACAGAAGTAAGCTGCTGCCTCTCATACACCCAGACCCAAAACACCCTGGAGGTGTGAAGGATGATGTACTTATTAAAGGTAAGTTGCACCTAAAGGTAAGTCACTCCTACCACAATCTAATACAATATCAGTGTTACTATCACACTTAACACAAGCTGGCACAATGTCGGTCTTCTCCATAAGGCACCTAACACAATTAGTCTTCTCCATATCACAATTAACACAAAACCAATTTTTTCAGCACTATGCCTAATGCAGTACCAATTTATCATATCATACATAACAATTGTCTTTTCCATACATCACCTGATACAGTACTAGTCTTTTCTAGTTCATACCTAACACAATGTCAGTTTATTCCATGTCATATTAGCATATCCTATTATTGACATTACAAGCCATATGTTTTTCTAGAGTTTGAACTTGCCCAGAATGCCTTCTTCACAGACCCCAATGACCAAAGTGCTTGGTTCTATCATAGGTGGCTATTGGGCAGAGGTGAGTGTCATATCAGATTGGATAGTCTTAAAATTCACACCAGTTCATGCACTGTACTACTCCTTTCAAGATGTATTTTAAATAATCTCATATGATGTTGTCAATGGTTTCTCCTATGGTTTTCATTTTCTGTTGTCTTATTGAATAATTACATGTTCTTCAATTTCCATAGCTGACAAGCAGCTTGCCATTGACTGTGTGTATGTATCAAGAGAACTAAGAAGAGTGATGGTCAGACTTTCTAAACCAGCAAAGGTGAGAAGTAATCTCTGAGTGGAGTTTATTTTAGTGAGAGTAATCTATTTATAATAAAGGGACAGCTTTTTTTATCTTCCAACTTCTTTTGAAACAGCAGCTTATTCTTTTTTTCTTAAAAGCACATTACATGCTTTTAAAATGATGAAGTTGCTTCAACTTTTATCTCCTTCATTTTTCTCAGGAGAATCTCCTGAGAAAAATGTAGGAGATAAAAGTTGAATCCACAAAGCTGCTCACATGGCTTAATGTTTGTATGGGAAATATTTGGAAGTTTACAGGAAAAATTGTCATTTGCACATTTTTAATCCAAATTAAGATTCCACTTATAGAATGCTACTTCAGTGAAACTGAATTGTGGTGGTGCATGTGATCTGTTCTCTCTTTTTATTTCCAATAAAGAAGTTTTATGAATCCTAATTTTTTAAAAAAATTCTGTATTAGATTATTTAAGTAAGTTTAAAGGATTGTGTTTGCTCATTAACTTTTATTCATTTATAATGTTTTTAATGAAATAGTGTGAATATCACATATTTCTTAAATGTAATGTTTGCCTTGTATACCTTGTATATTAGATAGGAGCTGACCTCTCCCTGCAAGTGTACCTAGATGGTGTCCAGTGTATAGGAGAGTGGACCACACCAGCTGGCACCAATGACCACTCCCTACTTTGGGTATCCTTGTTGATATTACCACTACTCCAAGAGCGCATTCACAACAGCAGACTAACAGGTTCGTGGATCAAGTACGGCCGACCCACTTGAATGCTTGTTGCATAATCCCTGCAGGGAATCTGTTCAGTGACTGTTTGGGAATTGAGCAGCAAGCTTTTTAGTGGGTTGCCGGATTTGATCCATGGATCTGTCAGTCCGCTGTTCTGAAAAATTATGAGGCTTTTGTATCCTGCTAAATTGAAATATGACAGTATATGTCATGATCTCTGTGGTAAATGTGTAAATATGTTTTATTTTATGGTTTATATATGATCGAAATAAGTAAATTCAATATGCTAGTCTGAATTTCATATCTCAACATATGCCCTGTAAGTGTGCATGTATGAAGATATGAAAACAAGGAAGCAGGCATCTGAAGGGAATCATCCAAGTTATCCCAAAGTCTCACCACTCACCATAAATGAGATTTCAGTACGTCAGATAAACAAATGTGGTGCAGCACAAATAAAAGCTGAGAAAAGTTACCACAGCTATTTTTCTGATTGTTTTCTCTCAAATTCACCTTGCATGTCATTTTATAACATTCCCTACTCATAGGGTTTTTACAGACATGGCTGAAAAGTTGACTCTAGCTTTCACAGATTCTCACACATTTTCTGGTCTTGTGTGCTGCAACAGAGTGTCGTAGGCCTTCTAATAGGCCTTGCTCAGATGATTCCCATTTGCATACACCTAAAATCATTTGTTTAGAGCACTGGTGAAAGTTACTTTGGCCATGAAATATATTCCTTGACATATAGCTCTTTAATCTCACTGCACCCTTGGATGGTAATGAGCATAAAGTGTTGGTAGCTATGGAGGGTAGTTCTAGGTCTTGCACACTGAAGGATGGAGATGAGAAGGCTAGCAATGTGGATGAAGTCAAACCAGGAACTCTGTTTAGGTGTGAAGAGGAAGTGTTTGATTTTTAATAAGATTTTAGGGTGATAGATATATTTTAAGGTTCCTTCTGTACAAAATTATGAAGGTGGTAAAATAAATATGCTTACTCAATTGCCATTTTGAAAAAAATTTATATTCTACTTCTTTTTCTAGAAAGTTATAACATTAACTATAAATTATGTTTTATTGTTTTTCCAGCCAGTCAATAATAGCTAAATCGAGAGAGAAATATTTTGCTTATGATGTCAGTGAATATTATCATGATGAAAATGTAGATATATGTTCTGAATACCATAGGTGTTTGGAAGACAAGTTTTATGGTACATGAACATGTATGATCAGAAAATGTCAGGTCTTATTCAGCTTTATGATGTCAGTGAATATTATTTTTCCAGCTATCAACTTAGTGCTGCCACAAGTGATACTCTTACACAAGAACTTGATGCTTGTCAACAACTTTATGAGTTAGAACCAGATAATAAATGTAAGTAGGTTTTTTTTATCTTGTAAAACTTAATGTGGTAAAATACATTGCATAACCAGATCACTCACTTTTATTGATCCATTTAAGTCTGTTTTGTGGCACAAAATTTATTGTCCAAATTGATTGACATTTTAAAATCAGCATACATCAATATTCAAAGTTATTTCTAGTCAATAACTGATTCCAAGAGTAAAGTATGTCAGAGCAACCACCACAATTTATTTTGAGAGTTGGTTCACCAGTCCTTTGTTTTATCACAGGGGTCCTCCTCACCATTATGCTGTTAATGAGAGCCATAGATCCACTCAAGTACTTGAAGGAAACCCTGGAACACATAGACACCATTATCAAAGTAGATCCTTGTAGGACCAACTATTATAAGGATCTTAGTAAGTAAAAAAGGACAAGGTTTTTTAAACAACATAGGGATCATGGATTCAAACTTGGTTTGATTCCACGCCTCCTGCATAACTTGCATGGTGCTTTTTTTTTTTTTTTTTGCAATTTTTTTTAACAAGTTAATCTTAGATCTTTTGGAAACTTTATCTAAAACCTCTTTGTAACTTATTATATGTATGTGCATGTTTTTTAATGCAGTGTAACCAGTTTAAAACTTTATCAACTTTATTGAAAATTTNTAGTTCAATAATGAGACTGTTAACATGCCTAAGAGTTGAATCTGAGGAAATGCGAAAAAACAGCATAACTTATAAAATAATGCCCCTTTTATGCTGATTTTCGAACTCAACCTGCATTTTAGTAAGATTGACCACTCCTGTGAGTTTAATGACAATTGGCCAATCTGTTTTTCTTATATTGTGTTTACAGTGTTGCATATATGCTGAAAAACGAAAAAACAGCATAACTACTAAAACAGTGGCCCGATCATGCTGATTTTCAAACTTGACCTGCGTTTTCATAAGACTGATTACTCCTGTGAGTTTCATGACAATAGGCATAACAGTTTTCCTTAAAATGTGTTTACAGGGTTGCATATATGCTGAAAAAAGTGAAAAAACAGCATAACTTCCCTTAAAATGGCCCGATCATGCTGATTTTCAAACTTGACCTGTGTTTTATGAATATTCATCAGCTCTGTAAATATTAAGCCAAAAAGTAAAACTGCCCTCCACTTATCGTGTTTACAAGGAAAGTGCACGGCGCCGGCGACGGCATCGGCATCGGCATCGGCGACGACAGACGCAGGTGATGGCAATATGTACAGACACATCTGTGTCTGTACATAAAAATGGCTCATGCTCATTTTATTTTAGCACTGTTTTTGTTTTGGAATACACAAAATGTTTGGTCTTGAAGGTAACGTCAACTTTTTGTTGCGACTGTTTCTGAAATGGACCCCAGTATTAAAAAAAAAAACATTAGTTACTGTTCCTCAACTTGCTTCCAGCCATCTCAACCATGGAAGGACTGCAGCCTTTGACCTTGTGTTTGAAACTTAAGAAGCTGAACATCATGGGCAACCCTCTTTGTGAACAGGACAATTTTGTGGAGGAACTGAGAAATATGTTGCCCAATTTAGATACTTTAATCACGTAAAAACAAGCAATGTTTAATGTATGATTGTCAGTAAATGTTTGTATGGTGTTTGGTTCATGCCAAGTATTGGATATGCTTGTTAAGCAGTATGTGAAATGTAATGGTAAATTAAACAGATTTTCAATATCCTGCAGTTAAGTGGGAATGTGATAGATGTCTTAAAAGCTTTCAGCTGTGAAATGTCCTGTAATATTATTAATAATTATGAATAAATTAAATACAAAATCATGATTATGACATGAAGCTATAGAAATAAGTATTGGGAAGTTCTCCAATTTGAAGACACTGACACAGTGGACAAGCATAACTGTTTTATTGCCTAAAATAAAAAAAAAATATTATCACAAATATCACAACTTTTTTATACCCTGAATTCTATTCAATGTACAATTTGTGACTTGTGCAAAGTAATGTTATTTAATAAAATACTGAACATATCTACACACTACAGCACTTCTCTGACTTATATTAATACATAAAATAAGAATGCATTCCACTAACACATACGTGCATAGGCATATTACATAATATTTCTGTAGAAAATGACCAGTATTGTTCAAAGTTACAAATTAAGATTCATAAGATAATTCTGCAACGTTAAAAAAACTATAAAACTCTTCCCTGCCAAAAAATGAAAATAAAAAAACTTAAAGAAATGGCACCATTCTGATTTATAACAAGGCAGCTGCCCAAATCTGGGTCTGTATTTACAAGTCTTGTTTGTTGCTTTGGTAAACGCATCTAGGACATCATGCTTTAATAATGGATTTGGTTTAGACCAAAAAGAACCATTCAAATCTGTAACAAAATGGCAGGCCATCTTATAAATCAAAGTACTCTGGGTGACGTTGTGGTCTGTCTCTCTGAGACTCTTCCTCCTCCTCGTCCTCTTCATTGGTCGACTCTGATGACCAGGGTTCAAGGTCAGGGGGCACACCGTCCACCAGGTGGGGTACTGGAGGGTCGGAACTCTCACGGAATGGGTCCTTGGCTGGAATTGCAAGGTTTTTGTTGTAACTAAAATTGTTTATTATAAATAAATCTTGAGTCACGCTTAGTGCATTTATAGGGGTATCAATTTTGCAGAAAAATATCAACAAGGATGTGTGTAAAAATGAAGTAATTTCAACTTTTTTTCATTATGCAAGTATGAATTTAAAGCATGATACTAAGGCTTCGTTCACATGCAATGTCTATTTTCTAATTTCTATTTTCTATTTGCGCTATCTTATGATCACGGTCTGTGCCCTGAACATCCCACCGCGTAATTACTGGCAGCGCGAGCCAGTTACTTATAGTAACTTAAAGTAACTTATAGTAACTGGCTCGCGCTGCCAGTAATTACGCTGCGGGATATTCAGGCCACAGACCGTGATCATAAGACATACCGCAAATAGAAAACAGAATTTAGAAAATAGACATTGCATGTGAACGAAGCCTAACAGAGCAGGTAAGGCAGACTAACACAGCTGCAAAATACTTACCCTTTCTCCTTGGAATAAATGGGGATTCATCTTCAGAATCGGCCATTTCTGCTTCAGAGGAACTGCCAGCATAGTTCTCAAAGTCCAGAGATATGTATGCAGGCTAGAAAACAAAACCATGACAGATATGTATGCCAAAATGCTACTTCAGAAAACGTGGGTACAAATACCTCAAGAGGATAGCAATACAATTGGAAAACCAAACACACTTTGGATAACAATATACCTCTGAACTCAATATATACTGTACTAGTATATAACAATACATTAATAAAATGATTTCAAGACATGGCAATCCAATCATCTTCTGTGTTAGGTACACGATGTGACTCTAGATGAAGGCTATAATTCACTGATATTGTATAATAAACCCCCCCCCCCCCCCCCCCCGAGTCCTGAAGAACTTAAGACATTTAGCCATGAGTAGTCCAATGAAATACTGCCTCTGTTTCATTAAAATTGGGAAATCAATATTTCTGACTAATATTGGTAATTACATAACTCTGGTACAACTAAAAACAAAGCAGACTAAAACCAGTTAACCTTAACTTTCATTCTAATGTTTTTTTTTTATGAAACAGCTTTTGATTTCAGTATAAAAGGATATCAGGGTTTATATCATATCTATGCTAAGTGTGGCATTGTTTGTGACTAACTTTAGACTTATGCTTCTGCAGCCTTGGCCACCGTCCAGTCGTAGCCTTGTGTAGTCGGATCAACACCTCCCCTCCTCGTACATCAACCAGACACTTGGACTGCACTATGTTCTCGTAGAGCTCCAGGTCAAAGTGATAAAACGTGTCCAGAACTGTCGCACTGAAAAAGTGACATTTTCATAAATCAAATGATCATGTAACAATTATTAATGAAAAGAATTTCAAGTCTCCCCCTCAAACTTTTTAGTTGAGTCACGCAGACAGGAGGGACCAAAAATACTAGACTAGGTCTGAATCAAAATTTATTGTTTCTCAGGTGAAATCTTTGTGTTATGGAAAAGAAATCTCATATAACTGCAAAAATTACCACTGATCTTTTTGGACTTAGTCTTGTTACTTTTAACTTAAGAAAGTCCCACTCTTTCATCTGCCTTTTTCCAATTTAATACGTCAATCACCAGAGGCTATGTTGCAGACTACAGCACAGTGTCCCTCAAAAATAAATAAAGAAAACTCTCCATCTGCCTATTACACACCTGAATCTCACAGTCCTGTCCCCAAAGTTGACTACTTTCTGTTCCACCCCTCTGACCAGAATCTTCAGGACCACATGGTTACTGTCCTGGTACCACTTCACTGGGGGCTTCACACTTAATGGAAGAGAACAGATTTTTAAAAAGATAAATTTTTTTTTTTTTTTTTTAAACACAGTGATTTTTTCATTCCAATGTGCCTTGTGTAAAAATGGTATAAAAGTAAAACAATTCTAAAAAGTTTAAATGTGCTTTTAAATCAAAAAAACTGCGAGAGGCATGATGTTTTGTCTCTTCATCACTTTTCTTTTATCCTTCTCAACTAGAGAGAGACCAATGCACTATATTAGTAAACAATAAAATTAATGACATCACTGTATTTTTCAAACTTATAAAAATTCATTGATATATTCTAAATCTACCAGTAATGTGGCTATTTTTGCCATGTTGTTTAGTTTGTAAGAAAACTTACTTAGCTACATGTTCCTCAGTGGTCTCCAGAGGTGGAAGGCCTTTGACAATAGGAGTAAGGAGCAGCTTCTGAGGCTTGGGCTTTTGGGGCGAGTAATGCCTAAGGGACAATTTCCAAAAATATACTTCATTTCGTCTACTTTTTTTAAACTATGTGACAATTTTCAAGTTTGGCTTCCTTTTACTGATATTTTAGTTGGGTGACACTTTCCAAGTTATCTTTTTCTTTCATTTTAGTTCAAGAAATTTTCTATTAATTATACATGATTATTTCTCCATGAATTATTATAATGAAGCCAAACAAGAAAAATACGGTCTTGAAGAATTCTGGGATGGAGAGAGATATTAGATCTCCCCAAATTGACAATATTGTTTAGCTTCATTTTATGCGACATTTTGCCCCACAAACAAAATGTCTTCCCACTGCAATTTTCTATATTCTATAAACAATACCCTATACAATTGTACTGTTAATATTGTGTTAAACCTAACGCATTACTTACTTAAGTCTCACAGGTTGCTGCCTTTCTGGTGATTCCACATGTGATGTTCCATTTACACAGCTCTTGCCCACTGCATCTCTTTGAAAGGCAGTCAGTTTATTGAGAAAGTCTCTGCAATGTCTTCTTGTCACATTGGTGAGGAAACCAGTAGAGTCACACAGCCTTGAATGTGAATGTAATAATTAAAGTATAACCTTAAATTATCTGTGATGTCACAATTAACATAATAGCACATTCTAAATAACATAATTAACACAGTGACACATTCACAACAGTGACAAAAACTAACACAATGACACATTCAACATAACAAAATTAACATAATGACACATTCAACAGAATAATAGAACTTAAATGCCTTCTTCAACAGCAGCCTCTCTTAACTCTCAAGCAGTCAGAATTTAACATGCTGGGGCAGCTAACACATTCATTTCCAGCACATTTATCTATATAACAAATTATCAAATTGTCAAATTCAACACATTTTCACAATTAACACACTTTCTGTTTGAATAAGAGATGGTAAAAGAAGTGTCTGCACACACGGGAAAAACACAAACTTCTTACTTTTTAAGCACTGGTACCAGTCCCTGGTCTATCATTACTTCTTTGTTTCTTTTACTGTCAAATGCCAAGCACCTGAGGGCCTTAATTGCTGGTCCAACAACCTGGAAGAAAGACATGAAAAAGCACTACAATTCACCAACATTTGTTTGAAATGGCACAAGCTGGTTTGTTGGCAGAGTGATATAAATAACAATGTCAAAGCCTGAAAAAATCAATCATGTGTGACGAAATCTTGGTGGCAAACTGTGTGATAATTCCATTGTGTCAGTTGACTCAGCCATGACCTACTTTCACCTCCTTTATGGATGAAACTGACTAATTGACAGGTTGTAAGGTGAAAGTAAAATTGCATTGGTAGTGACAGTTATGGGCTAGCTGAGATGTATCTTTTCGTACTTCTAATCATAAAGAAAATCAATTTGGTGAAAAAATTTGGGATAGTTTAATTGTGTTAGTTGTGACAGAGCAGTGTGCTAGCTGAGACCAACCTTTTCTTCCTCCAGGGAGCTCAACCCCTTACATATGGCTTCTACCCCTCCTTGTTCCTGCACTGCTTGTCTACAGCTGTAAATAGAATATTATAAATTATATTTGGTATAAAACTGACTTGTTGACAGTTAAGCTATATGCTTCCAAATATTTATAATTTAAACATTTACCAATTCCATTAGCTTTAAACGAACAGCTTTAATATCACATCTTTTGAGGTAAACTTCATGTATAATCAGTTGGTTATAAATCATATCAAAATTGGACCTTCTTCCTTTTCACTCCTTTGCAGTATCATATATTCAAAGATCAAAGCTAGATGTAAAACTTACTCAGGGTGGGTAACAATGCCACTCAGGGTTCCAAGGGTGTGTTCTAACAGGTCAGCATCTTGGGACATCAGCACCACTTCCTTCAGCTTCTGTATCACCCCTAGTTCTATCAGTGACTTGGCATTTCTGAAATATAATTATAGTAAGTCTGTGGTGAATAATCTTTCATTTTAAAACCCAACATCTTCATTCCTGTGCCTTAAATTTCAAAATAATTTCAAATAATTAACATAATCATACATTAACTGATAGTTTAACATTAATTTTATGCTAAGTTGAGAATTTTAATTTATTTTAGTCCGTAAAAGTTAAATTGAGATATCAAAAACACAGCAGCTCTGTTTTGCATAATTACATATACAAAACAAATATCAGCTGTCAATTTATTGTAATAATGCATGGCTACTGGTAGTATAATTACAAATTCATCACAAAAACAGCTAAGATCATTTTTGGTAAAATTTTTGCAGTCCAGTATTTCTATGTAAATCAATGTAATTCTTTGGATAAAGGCTACAATAACACCTGTAGCCTCATTCCCCTAAGGTGATTAGATTGACATTAAAGTATTGGACTGCAAAAAATACATGGTTCCTGTGAAGAAACTATGATTATGGCAGTCATATTCTATATTGGTATGAGAGGACCCAGCACCTTGGACATTCCACCACCAAGTTGGCCATTGCTTTGGTCACATCTCTCTGGACAATGATATCAACAGATGGCTCCAGAAGCTTATTCAGTGTTTCCAATCCACCACACTCGAGAACCGCAGAACGATTCCTGGAATGATGAAAGAAAAGTATATATTAAGTTTGTTGCTTTCTAAACAAAGTAAAGATTCACAAGCAGGGGTGCCATTGAGTCTGAAAATATTCTATAATTGAGTAATCACTAGATAGTCTGAAGATGAAATAAATGCAAATTGAATAACTTCTCTAAAACAACCCTTTAAATTTCCTTAAGTCAAATCAGACAACAAATTTTAAATGGGAAAAATCTTGTTCTTTGACACCATATATGTAGGGCATAGGCTCTTACAAGCACCTAACATCAAAGACTGCCCTTATAATTACATGCTTGCATTTGACTACTGTCAAGACAATAACGCAGAGCAAACAAATCAATCACTGGATGACTAACATAGCCATTTGAATTCTTCAAAGATTATGACATGGCACATAAAACATTGTTTCGCACCTTTCAGAGACTGCCACACTCCCTATGGCCCAAGCAGCCCGGGCCTGGAGACTGGGGTCAAATGCCTGAGAGGCAAAAAAATATATATACTGTACAAACAAATATCAAGGACAAGTAAACAAATATTAAATAATTGGGTTCATAATAAAGATTGAGAAGTTTTAAAAGGCTATTGTGAAAATGTGTTAATTTAATTCCATCTGCCTTTTAAATAAAAAAAATTCTGTCTAATTTAACATGTGAACATGACTATGTAAAATATTTTCGCTCAGGACCCACCACTGCAAGTAAGTTACACAAGATGTCAACTCCTTCTTCATTCCTCAATTCTTCCATGTTACTGAAAGCAAAGAATCAACCCATTAGATTTACTCAAAGGCACACTATTTGCATAAATAAACATTTAAAAGATCCAAAGATTAGGCCAATTTTCTGCCTACTTTGACTAATAAGAAATCACAAACGGTCCAACTGGATGAACCATTTCATCCATTTAATAACAAAAAGTACACTTTTGGTGTTGAACATACACTAGAGAATTAATATGTAAATATCTACCCAGAGTTTCAGAGATTACTGGTTACTAAAAATGGCAAAGGCATGATGTAGGAGAGTAATGAGCAATCTTTGACACTCAGGAAGATACATTTTGGAAACAGCCTGTGGCAAAAACATAATTTACCAGGAGTTATTTGCACACATGTAGATGAGAGTCAGGAGCAGGTACTCCATACATTCTGAGGAAGTCTCCTGGTTTAGGAGACCACAAAGTAGACGGATTCCACCTATCTCCCTGATTTCATCCTTGAAACTACATAGAAAAAAATCTAAATTTACAATTCAAAATTCAAATGTAAATAAATGGATCAATAAAAAGTGCTAATTAAGGCAAAATCATTATCATTAAAACATTTGTTCTAATAACAGCTTTTGATTAATATAATAACAAATATCAGTTCACATGATTACAAGTCTGAAATTTTTTCACTCTTTTATCTCATCCTTCCTTATTTCTATAACTATTTTGTGACAATATTTTGTATCAGTTTGAAATAGTGCCAGTGAAGGCGTTTTGCATTCACTGATAGATATAACTTACTTAGCAGAATTCATGACTGTCCTTTGTAAAGCTTTAGCTATAAACAATCTTCTCATCTCATCCTATGGGGAACATTGAAAAACATGAAATATTAAATGAATGAACCAATCAAATGATAAAGAAAGAAAGAAAGAGAATAAAATTATATCCATTACGCATCAATTTGTAAAACCATTTTAGATGTTACTGATCTAAATTGCCAATGAAGGTGGTCTAGAGCACAGGAATACTGATTTTAAATTATCTGACCCACCCATCAATTTATCATCACAGCTATCATTTAGTCGATCTATCTATTATAGTAAACATACTTGGTTTGCAACTGTACAGAAAAAAACATTAAACTTGACAATGCGCTATACTTTCTAAAATGTTGTATCTTAATAATGCACTGTTCTAGTTCTGAGATTACCGTAGATATCTGCAAGGCTGCACACAGGTCTGGGATCTTCTGGTAGGGGTAGTCATAATGCTTGCTGCCTATGATGACCTCCTCTATCACTTCCTGTAGAACATAATACAATACTATACAGTGGAATACAGTATTATAATAATAATAATAATAATAATAATGTATTCCACTGTATACAGTACTATTATAATATTTATAATGAAATACAGTAAAATATACTTTTATGCAATAAAATCTATGCACAATGCAGTTCAGTACAAAGACAATAGAGGCATTGCCAACTGTAATCAAATAATGCTGATTGTGCTAAGCTGATACCTTTTCCTTCAGTATATTTTATTCTAATAAATAACTAGACACACACATGCCTTCATTTACACACGCATGCACACACAAACACTATTACCTCTGGTATATGTAGGCTAACAGCACGCCCCTGTGTCACCAAAGTGTCACCAATGTTGATGGTGACATCCTCACTTTCTGTGTCATACAACACAATGTGATATCGGTGACAGCCACCATACATGGCAGGACTTCTGTTGATCACCTAGAAAATGTTCATAAAATCTGCTCTGTCAACAGCATCAAATTTGAACTATAAATCATAGTTGACTGTATACCAATAAT